GCATGCCCAACAATGGTGAATCTCAGATCCATAAGGGTGACGCAAGGAAACGAAACTTTTATCATTAAGTCACCATGATCACTCCCACCAGAAAAGAGACATGCACGATACCTCATACCAGATGCTCGTTGTATATGATTAAGTTATAATTTTAATGATTAACATCCATAGGAGAAGCCAGGGACCTATATGCTACAAGAGATTTGATTCAGAAAATAAAACTCATAGTTAATAAAACTCAATGTTATTGGGTTATGTGTTGCACAACTGAATGAGACTAAGAAGGTTGACTCAAGAATAAATTGGATTATGAGCTCCGTTGTATAATTCTGGCCTAACCATTAAGTACGGAGTGGTGGGAACGATGAAACCTGCTATACAAGAAATAACATAAAATACCAACTTAATTAAACAAGTAGTGATCTAAATACTGGTAAGAGTTTTACCTTTTTTTCCTGATCTTCTTTGCCTTGGATTTCTCTATTCCCAGTTTCTTGACCTCATCCGGCCTGCTAAACGAAACAAGGCTCTCGACACATGGCTCGGCATAGAACACGAAAGGCATACCGTCAACCGAGACAAGCTCCGTAGTTTTCTTTTCCACATCATACCAAACGAGCCTCTTATCGTCACAACTCAGCAGAACCTTATCACCTTCCCTGGAGTACAGAAGTGGCTTCACAAAATCACGGGGCTCAATCGCCGGCGGACAAACCGTGAGCAATTTAGACCATGATTCCCTCACTCCATACTCTCTCATCACCCAAATGACACTTCGGTACTTGTAATTACAAGCCAAAGAAAGAAACCCTCCGATCACATCCAAACTCAAATCAGCATTCCAAATCTTGATCCCAGAAGGCATGACCACCTCATAATGTGTCTCACTCTCAACACTAAAGGCCATGATTTTCCCCATGTACAAACTACCAGCTTCCACCACTAAAGTATGAAGGGCGCCATTAACGTGAGCACGCCACTGACCTTTCAGGAAAGGCAGCGGGTACGGAAAACCCTCAATTTCCCGCCAACAACTCGATCTCAGGCCATAGACCCTAGCGTCCGATTGCACCCAATCATGAGTCAACCCGTTCCTAAACTCAACAAGCCTAATCACCTTGTAATCGTCCTTTCTCGAATCGTACCCCAACCCGTAAGTGGTTCTGGAGTACGATTCCAACCCTTCTGGAGCTTCAGCAGAAGTCTCCGGCAAAACCTTGTAGTCCCTCGAGTAAGGGTTCCACAGGACAGGAGGCTCGCTCATCACGAGAACTATGCCATTGCAGGAATTGGATATCTCGTCCACGCTCTTGTAGTAAAATGGGGGTTTGATGACCTCGGCCCTGTCAAGGGTATCCAAATCGACCGAGTAAACGCCGAGACCTCCGAGGATGAGCCGGCGGTGGGAATTCGAAGCCAGCGACCGGCGAAGGTGGGATTTGGCGAAACTTTCGCTGTCTATCAAAGAACACCACGATTTCCCGACGGAGCGAAACCGCTTGAGGGACTTCACGGGGAGGCGCAGGAGGATGTCCTCGATGAGCTCGAACGGCAGATTGGGCATTTTTCTGAGCTCGATGGATTACAGTTGGAAGCTGATAAATTAGGGCAGTGAAGTTCTCTATGAATGGAAGGTGAGGAATTATGTCATGTTTGGCGTGGAGTATGGGTTCGACCTTATTGTCATGTACACTTTGCGTAAGAATTGTGCCACACATGCTTAAGGGAAATGGTAACCATTACTTCGGTATTTGTAATTATTAGATCATTATGTAAACGTCGTGAATAGTTGATCAAACAGTTACAAATCACGACAGAATGATTCTGTAATGAGACAGTAGAATCTCTCTTAATTATAATTTATGTAGTAAATATACATTTATGTATTAGTGGAAATAGATGAGTCACAGGTACAGTGATCATTCAAAATATCGCACTATTATTATTTTTCTTTCAAAACAATAGAAATTTATAAAGTAAAAACACATATATACAAATTAGAGAGCAGTTAAACAATCGAATAATCAACTACTCAACCGAATGTAGTTAGGAGGACTAACCCCATAGTCAGGTAACCCGAGACAACATAGAACCAACTTAAACACAACACACAAAAACAGGAGAAAAAACAACAACTTCCAACAGAAGAATATCACTCCTCCAAAATGGGAGACCAAAACACATAACGAAATACATACAAACTAAACAAAGACACACAAATACCAAAACACAAAGACTACTACCTGAAAGACACCCTCCCCGTCTGCCGAACAACACCCTGGCCTTCGCCATCCGACCGACTCCAAGGTAGGAAACAGAAGAGATATCAACCTTTAGTAAAAAAACGCACGGGTCGAGAAACTCCCCAAACGGGTAACTCGACTCGGATCGACGAACTTGAATCCTCCATTGAAATCCCACCTCAGACGGCTCCAAAAGACCGAAACCAAACGTCTTCCTTGCCACCAACAATCAGCAACCGCAGCCCAAGAACCACCTTACCGACAGCTCCAAGGGACCGAAACCGAACGCCTTCCCCGCTACCAACAATAAGGAACCGCAGGCCAAGAACCACCTTATCGGAAGGAACGAAGACGGAAAGCACGAAGCCCCAACCACAGGCCAACAGCCGTACGTATCCATTAGCACATGTCCCACACTCCGCCCATGATTAGACGACCACCACCCCAGCCGCCATGGAGTCCAGGTAAGAATGAAACCACTCGAATTCAGAAATCGCTAGCTCACTGGATGAAGTCAGCTTCTAGAGATTATTCCATGTTAATATAATTACTGCATATGTCCAATAGCTCCTTAAAATAACTCGCCGACTTTTTTGCTAATGAATTTATGCACGGTCCTGGTCGGAGACTCAGTATGGGCTCCTGTCGTGATCTCTTCAGAGGCCAAGGGGACCTATACTCCTTAGTGTAGCGAGCTACATATTTACGGAGAGCCTCTCTTTATCTTTGTTGCATGTTGATTAGTGCTAGGGAGGTCTTCTCGTGTTTTTTTTTTTTTTGCGCTCAGGAACTGGTAGACGAACCTCTTGAAGTTGTATATCGACCTCGCAGACAACTAGTGGAACCAGTCCCGCGTCAACCCCTTTAGTGTGGTGAGGAAAGCCTTAGAGCAAACAACATCGTTGTACTTGTGGAAAACTGCTATATTTTCAAATGACCTCAAATGCCTGGACGGATCCACCGATCCTTCATCAGTTAAGGTCACCTCGTTAAAGTTGTTACGCAAGTCTGCCTCCAAAACCTCTTCAATTAACGGGTGACCATGGATCCTTGGTGCTATTCTGTCATCGACTTGAGCCTGTAACTCTCGCAATTGGGCTGCCAACCGCTCAAGTGTGGGATCCTGGGCAACTGATTTTTTGTTTGCTTTTTGTTGGTCACACAAAGGCAATTAGAGTTCTATGCTTGTGATATTGACATCTGGGAAGGTTTTTGAGGAGTAATGTTAGGAAGAATATTCTTAAACATTTGGTTGAAGAGGTCAGATATACCTTTAACCAAAACGGGATTATTACAAATTTGGCTGACATAAGGTCAGAATTTCATTGAATATGTTTTGGAATTCATTCGAGTGGGAGGCATTGTATTATCCTCATGATTGTCGTGGTTGTCGCTTGGATTGTTGGATGAATACATTGTGTCTAGAATTCGTAACTTCGCAACTTTTTTAAAGTTAAGTTTCATCAAAAATCACTATAGGCCCTTCGTCTATTTATTGATGGTAATAAATTACCGAGCATATTTTGTAACAATTATGAAGACTAGGAACATACATCGATAGTTATTTAGATTGGCGAGAATTTGACATCACATTGGAAATTATGTATTTATTGCTATGAACGTTATGTGATTGAATATTGAATTTTTCGCGGTCCCCTTTTGCGGGGTTATATTCAATGTGTTTATACAAATCCAAAACAAATATGGCATGATGACACAAAATGAGTCATGCCATCTAAGGGTGCAATTTTTGAGCACGTGTTGGCCAAGATCGCATGGATGCAGACATGTGGTAGTCATGTTGTTGAGGATTGGACGTTTCCTTTTCATTAGGCAGCTTGCTTTTCCATTTGACATTCACATCAGATCGGCAAATCGACACAGGTAGTCTGTTCATAGAATGACATTGGGATATGTAGATCGACGCGAATTGTCATCAGGGCCTACAACACACATCTACCGGGATGCCACTGAAAAACAGAATAAATATAAAATATTTTTTAACTAGATATCCCCTCTCCTAAATGTTGAACTAATAAGCCTAATTAACAATGGTAACATCTTCTCCTAATAAAAATATGCGAATAGAATAAGTGTTTAACAAGCATGAAATAAGTTGTTAGTAAATAATCTTTAGAAAATGCATATTTATTCCACTTAGAACTTTCAATATATATAGATTTCCCATCCCATGATGAGATATTAATCTGTCTTTTTTGCACCTATAACCATCTTAGAGCTGCAAGTCTCATTCTCGATTATCTTGCATTCGATCATTCTAATCTTTTTCTCCAGAAAATGAACCATATCGTGCAATTCATAAGGATTGTTCACATTCGCCTCTTGTCTTGCCACAGACTCAGCCAAGAATAACTCCTTCTCCAAGGAGTGTACTTTTTGGGTCTCTTTATCCAAGTTCTTGGATAACCTAGACAAATTCTGCCTAAGAAATCCAATTTGGTCAACCCGATGGTTTGTGTGGGAAGAAGATGGCAGATCTAAGAACTTTTGGATTGTTGTGGATGCTTCACTTGGGGAAGGCCATGTTTCTAACTGGGTCCCCTCGCCATTGATGATAACTCCACACGCTTCGACGTCGCACAGAGTTCCCAGTTCATTCAGTTTTTTCAATAAACCAGTCTTTCTCTTTTTGAATGTCTCGCGACGTGTGCGCTCGTCCAAAACGAACTCATATTTAACCTTCGACCGAACCATGGTAGAAGTCTTCAAAGGTATATGAGAATGAAAATGATTAGGCTTTCTCATACTTAAGAAAATTTTGGCATTATCATTTGAAGTGAAAATGGTCAAAATAGGGCCATTTTGTCAAGCGCTAGGGCAAGGCAAGATATGCTCTCACTCTTCTTTTCCCAAGCACTATGTTTTTTCACAAACATGTTTCAATTTTAAGAAACCTCATCACCTTCATCTTTTTAATGCATGATGATATGCAATCTATGATACACTCGCTCCAACTAACACAAAATGTCAAAAACGAATAGACAAAATATGATATCAATAACCAAGGTATCCAAAACAGATGAACTACATATTTTTCATTTCTATTTTTAAAAGTATTTTTACCATAAAATAACGTGAAATAATATTTTTCTATATATTTAGAAAATTTTGAATAAGAAACTCATCATTGCAATATTTATTTAATAGATGAGGTTATTCATCCTCATCCTCCCTATATATAATTTCAGAATGCGCTGAGTCTACGTGGCTGCTTTTGGTGCTTCGCAATTCTATTTGGCGAAGAATCATGCTTCGTAATTAGGTTTGGATAAATAATATTGATATATTAATAATTAATAATCTAGGTTCGGGTATTCCATAAATATTATTTAGCTAACCTAGGTATTTTAATATCACTTTTACTAATATAACCATTTAATTCTTTGTAATTTTACAAGTAAGGCACTAAGTGACTAATATATCCCTGAATTTTGATTTGTTTCCTTTAATAAGCTATTGAATTATAAATGTATTGTAAAAGTTGATAACTTTTGTATTTCTTATCGGTTTTACATATATAATATATCAAATTAATCATCTTTTGATGATCTTCGATTTGACATCCATATTGTACATACGAAATAAATAAATTATATTTATCTTTATAATAATAAAAAATAATAATATTTATTAAAATTCATTAGAAAAATAAAATTATTTCCCAATTGATATATTTATATGCAATGTAGTTTTATATTGTAAGTTAAAAAAAAAAATAGCATAATATAACACAAGTAAGTTGCACAAATAAAAAGTGTCATAATAAATATATAATCCTCCCTATATATAATTTCAGAATGCATTGAGCCTACGTGGCTGCTTCTGGTGCTTCGGAATCCTATTTGGCGAAGAATCATGCTTCATAATTAGGTTTGGATGAATAATATTGATATATTAATAATTAATAATTTAGGTTCGGGTATTCCATAAATATTATTTAGCTAACTTAGGTATTTTAATATCACTTTTACTAATATAACCCTTTAATTTTTTGTAATTTTACATAGTGAGACACTAAGTGACTAATATATCCCTGAATTTTGATTTGTTTCCTTCAATAAGCTATTGAATTATAAATGCATTTTAAAAGTTGATAACTTTTGTATTTTTTACCGGTTTTACATATATAATATATCAAATTAATCATCTTTTGATGATCTTCGATTTGACATCCATATTGTATATGTGAAATAAATAAATTATATTTATCTTTATAATAAAAAAATAATATTTATTAAAATTTATTAGAAAAATAAAATTATTTCTCAATTGATATATTTATATGTAATGTAGTTATATATTGTAAGTTAAAAAAAAAATTAGTATAATATAACACAAGCAAGTCGCACAAATAAAAAGTGTTATAATAAATATATAATAATATATATATTCTTATAAAAGGTATTTAAATTTTCAAACTACTTTTTTCTTATTAATTTTAGATTTTAAGAAAAAAATTAGCAAGCACCCGTGTAATACACGGGTGTTGTACTAGTGTCTTTATTATTTATTAACATCTGAAAAATCAATACTAACAACTAAAACTAAAAAATACATATTTTTAAATTATTAATTTTAGCAAATAAATTTAAAACATTTCATAGTTTTTTAGACAAATAAAATAATTATATAAATAATAAAAAAGTACAAAAAAATGTATCTGGAATATTTTAGAAGGTTTAAATTGTGTGTTTATACATTTATATATATTTATATTTATTACTAAATTTATTTCACTTGTTACTAATTGTTTAATATCATATATACTTATATAAGATTTATACAATGATATAATTATATTAATTTAATAGACCTAGATAAATAAGTTACTTTTATTACATAAAACGATTTAAAACTATTTAATACAAATATACATTCCATTATAAGAATAAGGCCATCAAGATTTTCTGAAACTTTGTGAGATTTTAAAAATCTTGGTGAACTTATTATACCTAATTTATTATTTTTTTTTAAAGTTTGGACATATTTATTTAGAGCACGTTTGTATACAGAAAATCTCAAATAACATTTCAACATTTTAACTCAATTACTTTTTTTAACTCAATTTTAACTCAACCCCACTAACATCAATATTATTAATATAATTAAATAATATCAATCAATCATTCATACACACTACATCAACTTTAATTCACTATTCATCAACTCACAATATTTTAACTAACCATCACATCAAATTTTTAATTATTTTATTTTAAATATTATTTTAATATACTCACTAACAATTAACCATACTAGTTTTATTAAAATTAATCAAACCAAACTAAAAAATCCCACAAAATCAAAAATTTTCATATCCAAACATGCTCTTAAGATTTTTAATAAATCTTTAAAAGGCAAGAGTTATTCATTTGATATTTAAAACAAAAATCTTAAAAATCATGAGAAATTCAGTTTATTCATCACATGAGTTTATTTGAATTATTAAGATTTATTCAGATATTAAAACTCAACCCGTTTAACCCCGATTACTTTTTTAATAATTTTAATTTTAAGAATAAAACTTAATTATATATTTATTTGATAATAATATATATATATATACATAAAGATTAAACTTTTACAATTAATTTTTCAATTCAATTAACTCATCATACTCAGTGATCCATAGACTATTCGGCCCGAATTAATTGTCCGAATATAACAACATAGATTTATATATTTATGTAAAATGCAGATGATTAACGACAATTAATTTAATAAATTATTAAATCAGAAAAAATGAGAAAAAAAAA